TTTCCTAATATTTATTGCAATAAATAATATTTTCATAATGAAACGACGGACATATTGTACGCTTTCTCGATTTTGCCGCTTGCTGCTTGCTGTTCGTTCGGTTCAACTTCAACGAACTGCGGCAAAATGTATTTTGCGCCGGAAGTGCGTCATCTAGCTTACATAAAATCCTTAACCAATAGTAACGAATTGCTGCTGCAGCGTGCTGCGCATGAAAAAGCACCTTAATAGTTTTAATTCGTCTACCGAGGTACTTCGCCACTGAATCTCTACAGTAAAAATAAGAACAATACAATGTAATAAATAAAACAATATTATAATTATAAAATTATTTTATTGTTACAATTATTTTATTGTTACAATTATTTTATTTTTACAATTATTTTATTTTTACAATTATTTCAGCAATTATGTTTTTATTAAGTAAAGTTACTTAATAAAAAGGACATTTATGTGAATGTCTATTTGTCCCTATGATACTTTCTAAACTACTAGGACCCTATTCTCGAAAAATTGCGTAGACGAAAGTCTAATAATAAGTTATAGTATATGTAACGTATATTATACCTTATTACTAGACTTTCGTATGCGCAATTTTTCAAGAATAGAGCCCTTGGTAATTTTTAAATTTTATACTGTTTTTTAATTACGTTTTATCTGTTCAAGATAAAACGTAATTAAAAAACGTATTAATTACCTACACTTTCTTCTACTTTATCTTCACAAATATCATTACAATTTTCTTCTGTCATTGTTAAATCTTCATTAAATAGAGCTATTTCTCTTGTGTATTCATCTTGTTCAAAATAATTTATTAATTCGAATTCGTGTGAAGAATCGCTTTGACAGATATTTTCTAAGTCCACTATCATATTTGAATCTTGATCAATTTCTGTGTTCTTCTTCTCAGATAACCCATATTCCGAATGTTTTCCCAAAATGTACCACTTTAATCTAATTTGAAGTTGTACAGGTGAGGGGTGATCATGAAGTCCTCCCATGGATCGAATGTGTGAGAAAAAATTTTCGAATATATCTTGGCACAATCGTCGCGTTATTATATATTCTGGTTTGAAATCGTAGCGAGTATATTTTTCTTTTAGATACTGAAGTAATTGTTTTAAAGATAAATTTACTATTATAATGTCTTTTTGAAATGGCAAAAGTGCTTTTCTTCCAGATGTTCTTATTTTTAAAATAAACTCAGTCATCTGGCTTAGAATAATGTTCTGATATTTAATATTAATTCCATAGGCACGTAAACCAGAGTGTCTTCCAAATTTTGACTGAGTGTTTAAGACATCAAACCAATTATTAGTTAATTCTAGCATGTCTGACATTGCTTGCCAATTTTCATTCTTTAAAAATCCTTTTTGTCCGCAGTATTGAATAGCTTTGGCATTTCTGCGGGAAAAAATCTGAGCTGCCAATTTAACTCTTTGTCTTTAAAACCCTTTTGCATCAAGGTGCGCCCTAGTAAGATTGAATGCTATTTTCAAATCTCGCTCATTTAGAATTAATAATTCTTCAAAAATAGCTTTCTCTAATAATTTATTGTTTACGACGAAACCAGAATCAAGTAAATTGTTCCTCATTAATTTGATCAGATGAGGAACATCTGCAAACACGAAAATTTTTAATGTTTCATTCGCTGGATGGATAACAAAATTTTTTATTATTATATTCGTCACTTGTAGACATTTCGATTCCAATATTTAAATCTTTCCATAATGCCATATTTGACGATCCCATGTTATTAGTTACAGCCACAACAATATAACCTATTTCAAACAAAATTCTTATGATATTAAATAAAATTGATTTTGTCATTTGATGGGAGAATTCATAAAATATTGGCTGTTTCCAGTTGCCAAAAATGCCTCTAGCCATAACAAATTGGCACGATTTATGTGGACCATAAATCTTTTGTTCTTTGCGTTTTAAGTCCACCTTATTAGCAATACACATCTCATTAAAGGTTAACACTGTTCATTTATCACTGATTGATAAATTTTCTCTTTTTTTTCTCATTATTTCTAGAATGTCTTGTAAAATTCCTGGTTTTACACTGAAATTTTGACTCCAATTTCTTAGGGTAGAATCACAGGGAAGAGGTATTTTCATAACATCGCGGATATATTTATATGCTCGTCCGCTCTTACACCTTAAAGCCATTGCAGATGAAATGTCTTCTGTTGACCAATGAAATCGAGTAAGTGTTGGCTTTAACAATTTATTAACCTGACCAGGAGTAAAAATGGTACTGAGGATGTCGAATGCAATTTTTTGTCCTTGTTCCTTTGCATCGAGCTTCATATTATCAATAATTTGGTTTTTTCTTTGGAGATTGTCTTCAAGCTCTGCGATTTTTATTTTAAGCTGTTTATTTAGTTCTTCCATTTGCTCAATTTGCTTTACTTCTTTCAAATGTTCTGAACACATTTCTTTGTTCTGGTCTGATTGAACATTCTCTCGTACAGAACTGTAATATACAAATATACATAAGTACTGTTGCAATAACTTCTCATAAAAAATAAGTATTGTAATTAATAAAAAATATATAAGTGTGTGAAGAACATTAATTAGTAGAATGTAAATGTAACAAATGATAAAAATTTGTTTTTAATATCTTTTTTTATTTTATAAAAGATATTTTAAACATGAAGAGAGATTTAACTTTATAATTACGTTAACCAAATTACATGAACCAAAACTTGAATGAGACCAATGAAAGAAAATGCAACATTTTATATATGGATTATACCTACATCAATTGATCAATTGGTGGGTTCTGACTATTTTCCTCTCTTCCTTCTATTTCTTGATCACCATTTGCAGAAAGCGTCCAATAATTATATATTTTTTTCTGTCTTCTTTTTTCCAAATTGAGGAACAATGTTGGAATGGAGCTTTGTATCAATCACCGAATCATGCGAGGTTTAACATTTTGATCTGGATGGCTTTGTTAATTTATCCTCAAAACAATCCGAGGTAAAATGTATTGAACATATTCTTGCTGAAAACATTTCTTTGTTATTCCATTGTTCACAAATAATAATTTAAAAGCTTATGAAAAGGAATTCTATGTCCATTGTATATTGTATCGTATTAATATCAAAAGTTACCTGTGATGAGTTTTTTATCTCCAGGTTTTCGTCCACAACTTTCGAGCCACTTTTGCTTTAAGTACGTGTCTTTTGGGAAATAAAAGAATGTTATGCCTTCTTTTTCAAAAAGACATCGAAAATGACTTTTACAATTTAACACAGCACACCCAGGCATGATTTCTGACGAATAAAAATTATTAAAATAATGAAAAATAAGCAAACAAAATGTTATTACAGTAAAACTTGATCTACAATATGCTCTTTGTTTCTTGCCTTATAACCTCCTTATACACTGTTTTTTATATACTATGTTTTACAATATACATCGTGCTTCTTGTCACGTATCATTCGAGATAAAGGTTGATAAATTACAGAAAAGACAAAAAACACAATAGCATAATGCAGAGAGATTAGAAGACAAGCAAAAAGTGCATTCTAGATTAACCTTCAAATATTCATATGTTTTCCAAGAAAATTTCCAAGAAAACTAATAAATTTATTCGCATCGACAATAACAAAAGTACTAAAAGTAATAAACATATTTGTCCTTACCTTGTCACTATCCTCTAACCTCAACCTGTGCTACACTACACCATCTTACTACGCGCAAAGACCCCTCCAGCCATTCCCCCCACTACAATAATTTTGAATTTAGGCACACATCTGATTGGCTTGCCACTGTGCATCTTATAATTGCTTCACCTTTCTAATTACACCATGGTTAGAGCCATGGTAAATCGCAGCCGAATACGCTACCGATCATATCCGATTCATCCCGACTCTACACGAGTATGACGTAAGCTTGGACAAAATACGGCAAAGTGATGGGAATGCGCAGTGGTCTGACAGGAAACGAGCATACCCTTGTCTTTATACTGTAAGGGAGTTTTGTCAGGAATCCCGAGGAGGAAGGCAGGAATTCTCTTAGAGCACAGGAAGTCAAGCACGAAGTCACTTAATCAGCAAAAGACTCTATTTGTCGTGTGCGAGCTGAACGCTTTCGTGGTCGTTAGATTCGGTCAGACTCTCGCTTGAATATCTCAAGCCACCAATCCTGGGGGTCAATCACGTAACTTTTTCTCTAGGGCGGAAACGTGAAAAGTGAAAACTTTTATGAATGTATGTATGAACATATACACACAAACATGCAAAAAATTTTTACTTTTCACGTTTCCGCCCTAGGGGAAAAGGTACGTGATTGACCCCCTGAGCTTCGCATGGCTCAGGCCAATCGTCGTTCAACACGTCATGCGCGAGGTGCACAAACATAGCAGCGTCGTCAGGCGCGTATAGCCTAAATTAAAGTGAGGCGCCAGCAGGTGCCCTACAAGTGTATATGTTACAAATAAAGATTAAGGGCCGATTGTTCCATCTTTCGGTAAATTTTATCTGTTAGGTAAATAGCAAGATTACCCAATCACATGCATGGATCGCCACATTTACCTAACAGGTAAAATTTACCGGAAGGTGGAACAATTGGCCCTAAAAAAGAAGTCCATATCTATTTGGAACGAAAAAGAATCTAAAGTAGGAGTAAAAAGAAGGAATAGGTGGAAAAGATTTGGGAAGGGGAGACTTCAGGTAAGAAATAAGGATTATTGTACAGCCTTAGAAATATCTTAGCGTCTACTGGTCACTTTACATTCTTTCTAAGGCTCAGTCACATAAAGCATTTTGACACGAGGTGTCGAAAGTGAATAGACAAACATAACTTATTGAGTATCTTTATCTAAAAATACGTGTGATTTTTTGGTTTAGGCGATTTAAGGAGGTTCGAGCTTTATAAAGCCCACTTTTGAGAAAACCGTATAAAATATGAAACCGTTTGTGCACAGTCAAAGCCGGCAACGCTTTCCAAAAATATACAAACGAGCACGTGGTCCGGAACGCGTCCGTAACAGTAATTAGCCCGATATTTCATGTGTCGTACGACAAAGCTTTCAAGCACGTTGATTGACTATAGAACAGAGAGATCCGAAAATCTCTGTTTTACAACCATTGAAGGCTTGAAAAGCCTTGTCGTACGATACATGAAATATATCGTGTAGTTGAATTTTATTCTTTTGAAGCCTGACTTTCTTAAATTTATTTTTTAAACCACATTATTGTATTTTTATATGTACCATCTCTGAAATCAATCTTTTAATATACACTACGCACAACAATTAGGGGATCACTTTAAAACCTACAAATTTTGTCGATATTTAAGAAACTGTATCTCTGCTTCCAAAGATCGTAGGACATTTTTTCTGGTCGCGTTTTAAAGGGTGAAACTTCTTCTTTAAAACAGTTAATATAATATTTGTCGTCCCATCAAATGGGACTTTTTCACGGAACCAGAAGCAGGTTGTGTTAAAATTTCTAAAAATTTCGCGACTTCAAATTTTCACGGGCAAAATACGAACAGGCCGAAAAATCTTATTACATGCATTTTATAGTTTGAAACACACACACACACTCGTCCACCCACTCACCTACACCCACACAACCACACCCGCACGCACGCACACACACACCCGTCCACCCACCCACCCACACCCACACACCCACACATACCACACACCCACACATACACATGATGTGCAAATTCCTATGTGCAAATTCCGACCGAGCAACCTCCCTGTGGTGCACATCGGGTAACGTGAATGCTGGCGGTAATACCCAAAATCTTGCTAAATGTAAGGTTCTCTTTGGAAGCTGATAACTCAGCTTCTAGACATGCTACAGTAATCATCGTGGTCTCGTTTTAAAGGAAACATTTCAAACTATAAAATGCATGTAATAAGATTTTTCGGCCTGTTCGTATTTTGCCCGTGAAAATTTGAAAAGTCGCGAAATTTTTAGAATTTTAACACAACCTGCTTCTGGTCTCCGTGAAAAAGTCCCATTTGATGGGACGACAAATATTATATTAACTGTTTTAAAGAAGAAGTTTCACCCTTTAAAACGCGACCAGAAAAAATGTCCTACGATCTTTGGAAGCAGAGATACAGTTTCTTAAATATCGACAAAATTTGTAGGTTTTAAAGTGATCCCCTAATTGTTGTGCGTAGTGTACAAAGGTTCACTATCTAAAATTTTAATTTTTTCCCATTTGAATTTATGATCATGATGATTTAAAACAACCGATGTCTTTTTTTTAAAATTATTTTTATGATTTTAATAATATTGAATAAAAATATATTTTAATTCGAGTCTGCTATTGACAGATACACTAGATATCTTTGTGAATCTAGTAGGTATTCGATTTTTAAAAAATTAAAATTTTTATTCATAAAATTATAGTATTTTGTTTGTTGTTTTGCAGGTTAGAACAGGTGATACTTTTATTTTATTGAGTAATGAGTACGGAGTATTAAGAAGGAGTAAAATCTCCGCTTCTATAAAAGTGTCCCCGTTTCGATTGTCAAGGGTTGTCTCTGACGCCATACTGACAATCGAAACGGGGACACTTTTCAGACGATCAGCTTATAGAGATTTTACTCTTTCTTAATACTTCGTGGTAATAAGTTTATTATTTTCTAATTACAGTGCCTTACTACAATCGACGGCTTACCACGAGGAGGGCGTCGCCTCCGACCGACGATGAAAGTATCTCGTCGGAGGCGGAGAATACTTCACCACGTGGGTCGCCGGTTAACCGCAGTGAAAATCGCGTCAATCGACGTGTTGTCACTGCGCAGAACACGACGGGCCGAAGGCGTCGTGGAAATCTGCCGAAGGAGGCAGTTAACATTCTAAAACGGTGGCTGAGCGACCACAAATTCAACGCCTATCCAAACGACGTTGAAAAGGAAACGCTCAGTCACCAGACCAGCCTTACCATAATGCAGGTAAATAGCACACAAAAAATAAATTTTTAATGCTTAACACAGATTTATCCATATATCTCCGTAACCCAAACTAACACTTGTTTAGTGTTACTAAACTTTTCTATCTTATATATATATTCATTAAAATTGTCTATAATCTGTAGGTGTTAAGTTCGGTTTTGTATATCTGTGTTAACTTTTATGTATTTTATTACTAATGCACAAATTTTAATATCTACAAATTACAAAATATATTATAAAAGGAAGATTTACAAGTACACAGCATTAAAATTTGTATCAGAATATGGGACATTGTTATAATTACAAATTACAATTATAGCAATGTCCCATATTCTGATATAGCTTTTAATGCTGAAATTTGTAGATCTTTTTTTTATAATTTGACATCGTTTGTAATTTGTAAATATTAAAATTTATATATTAATGATAAAATAGATAAAAGACACAGATACACAAAACAGAGCTTAATGTTAGAAGATTATAAAAAAATTTTTAATGTATACATATAAGAAAGAAAAGTTTATAAGTGTTAAGTTAGATTTATTAACAGCTGTGAAAGAAACATAACATTTTATTGACTTTATTGATTATTATTTACATATAGAAGAATAAAGTAGAATGGGTAAATACATATTTAAACTTATATTTATTTTGAACACATTTCTTTACTTAAAATATTTGTATACGCAGCGCAAAATGATTCGTCGAATGACGTCAATTTGACATCATTTTGACATCAATTAACGAATTAATTTTTTGCTGGGTATAAGTTTTGACATTCGTTATTATAATATTAAGGCACATACTCTGTTTGACATTTTCTATAATACAATATGCTTACATTTGCATTTTGAAAAAGAAATTCAAGCTACACTTCTTTCAACATTATTTTATTTGCGCATTAAAAATCCCTTCTTTCATAACTTGTGCCTTATACTTTGAAGTACCTTCTGCTCTATAAAAATCCACTTTGTTATAGTAACAACTTTATATGCTTGATACAAAGAAGAGAATGATAAGGTCTCAAAACCTCTTAAAATATAAGAATCAACCTTAGTATCCACTTCAAACAGAATATATTTAATTTGACCAAATATAGGATACTCTTCACCAAAGCCAACTGATAAAATCATTCTCGGTTTGTAATAAGTACCTAACACATCAGCCCATTTTAAGACATGAATTTCATTAAAATTGTTATGAATTAGGCTCGGTTTTCGTTTTACAATAAAGTTTATTACGGATTTATTACAACAGAAACTATTACACGAGATCAGAGCGAGCTCTTTCAGAGGAAGCAAACGAACGTCTGAAAAAACGAAGCGCGAGAGAAACAAAAAAAACGGCAGATTCAGGAAACGAACATTACTATCATAAAGACATATTCACAGTAAATTCGCAGACAAGATTCTTATTTTATAGCTTAGCGCCATCTAAGAACTACCTCAACGATTATACTTTTTCTCTAACAAAAATAAATTGATTTATTAATGGATGATTATAACAGTTTAAGCTGTTTTTCGTTGATTATCCTCTAATTTGCATTGATTTGCTAATAACATTAAATTTTGCAGGTGTGTAACTGGTTTATAAATGCTAGACGACGCATTCTTCCTGGAATTCTGAAAGAGGCTGGTGAGGATCCAAATCGTTACACGATATCACGTCGTACTCGTCGTGTAAACTCCAGCAGCCCTCTTCGGCATGGACGAAGAACGCCTCTTGAACCGATTGAGGACGACCCACCGGCACAATTCAACATAAATTTTCCGCAACGTGGATTGGAAGAACCCATATATCGGTAAGTATCTTTTTCTTTGCATCTTATTTATTTATATTCTTGACAACTTGTAAGAACGAAGAATTCCACCGACTCGACAACGCCGACCGACTTATACGAAAACTCAACAGCTCGAAAAGAGATTTGCTTATTAACTAATTTGCTTATCAACTAATTCGCTACTCTGCTAATATGCTAACAATGGCAAAGGTTCCTTTTTTGGAGAATTATAAAAAATAAGTGGGAGAATAGATTAGTTAGATGTGTGAAAATATTAGATGTATCATTCAAGATTTGCGTACGCAGAAGCGAGGACTGTCCGAACGATTACGAAAGCAGTTTGAACGACTACCACAGCGAGGAAGAACATCCTTCGATACGATGGCCCAATGTAATCGTTCGTCCTTACGCTGAGGCTCAAGTCGAGCAATTAGATGGCGACACTATTTCTCATCCGTATGCTCGACGAAGGCAAGCTTTTTGAGCCTTCTTCAGAGACAATAAAAAATAACTTAAATAAATTATAATTTAAAAATAACAAAGGATAAAAAGATGTTTAATCATAGTGAGCTCCCTCACAACCGAGAAATAGATTTTGATGACAATTTCATCCTAAGGAGCACGATCAAATGAATAATAACGGAAGAAAAGAAAGAAATAAAAGAAAGTTGAAAATCTGGGAAATTAATTTTCCAAGATGTCTAGAAAAATAATCATTTCAAATTAAATTTATCAAATTGCAACTATTTTACCGGGAGTGAGGAGACTCACCATGTTCACCACGATACTGCAACGCAAACAATCTCAAAAACGGTCTCCAGAATAATTTAGGCCAATCAGTCTCAGACACAATGAGTCACCACAAATAGTTTGACAGTATATTAAATTAAATTATCAAATCACAAAATTCAAATGCTACGACTCATCACTATGCACAAGCGAGACTGACTAGTCAGCCAAGAACTCCATGTTGATAATAGCGACACCGAATTAGTCTACGACTTAGCAAAACTGGTAGTTACACTCATAAATACGAGCTCATGTCCGTGCGCTCATTTTCGGGCCGAAAGTGAGCACACAGACATGAAGCTCATGATTTCGTGTGTGTGTGTGTGTGTTTATAGCGTTTCGCCACGAGGCTGAATGGGCGTGAAAACACGACAAAAGGCTGAATAAAAGGCGTGGAAAAGTAACGTTTTGACGATTTTTGTTGCGTGCCATTTCGTTAATATTTGCTTATTTGTGGCACGTAACAAAAATTAATGTGCATTTCTCGCCTATGATGTCACAATTCCAACATAGCCGTCGCGACTACTCAGAAGCTCTTAAAGACAATGTTTTTTTGTTTTGTAGGCTTAACCCTTCCAATGTGGAGAATTCTGAGAGTACCCGCGAAGAACCTGCTGCATACTGGAGCGCACCTCGTGAGCATTTGGTATCGCCTGTCGTTCAACAGCACATCGTATATCGTGGCCTGTCAACGCGAAGTCTTGAAAACGCTTATGTTCACGAACACAATGGTGATTCATTCAATATGCTCGTCGAACTTGCGGTAAATTTACCTTATGCAATCTCATTACCCAACACGCCTTCACCAGAGTCTCGTCTCTCGACGTCTTCCCCATATTCGTCACCGTCTTCTGTTCCGTCTTCTCTTCCATCAACGGAAGAACCTTTACACTCGAGAGATACGTCGGTATCGTAATTATCGTTGCCATTGATAATCGCGGCTCAATAGATGACGAAGATATAAAAGGTAAATAAAAGACAAAAATTCCTCTCAAAAACCTAGCAAATTATTACACTTTTTAGAAATTGTTACAGTTATATCAAAGGAATCGTCAGTCATTTTCGACATGTTTATCTCATTGTTACTATTAAAGAGTTTTTTTTCTGTAGGAGTTTAAAAAAGAAAATTTAGGCGTTTTTTAGGAATTTTATAAAGAAAACATTAAATTAAAACATTGAAAGAAGGAAGACGTTTAATATATAGTTACAAACATTAAGAGATATATATTTTTTTCATGTGATATTAAATATATCTTTTATACGTGTAAAAAAATAAAAAATTTTTAAACATGAGACATATAGATATATATATGTATGTATATTGTGTATGAATATCTCGTGTGAATATCTCATAATATTTCTACTTATATTGGATTTCTCCATACTCTCGCCATTATGATCCAATAAATGTGTTTGTGTGTGTATATATTCAGAGAATTCTTCCACATTCAAAATTTGCCACGGAACATTATTGGTCGACCCTAACCTACAGATTTCTATCTAGACTGCCGACGTTACTGACTTCCCCC